TTGGCACCTCTTTCACGTGTTTCATGTTCGGTATAATTGCCGTTTCACTATTTCTTGATAAACCTCCTGTACCGTGCGGCAACGGTTCGACAAGTTTCGTTCAGGAGATTCCAGCCTTGAGGATGAGCTTCGTAGCGGTCGACCTAAAGCAATACCTGACGAGGACTTTAAAGGCGTTTGTGGAGGCTGACCCATCCCAAACAGTTCGAGAGATTGCAGAAAAGCTAGGCGTTGGCAAATCCACTGTTGCGGATGGTCTGAAACGCATTGGGAAGGTGAAAAAAAAAACTTCGACAAGTGGGTGCCCCACAATGGTGACCGGCAGTGCGCAGCGTCTCGAGGTTTCTTCTTCACTGCTTTTGCGCAACAGAAACGACCCTTTTTGGACCGAATTGTCACCTGTGATGAAAAATGGATCATGTATGATAACAGGAGACGTTCCGGACAGTGGTTGGATTCCGACGAACCACCGAGGTAATTTTCAAAGCCGAACCCTCACGAAAAAAAGATTCTGGTCACGGGCTGGTGTGATCCACTATAACTTTTTATCACCAGGCCAAACCATCACAGCAGAGTCCCTACTGTGAAGAAATCGACGAATTGTACCGAAAATTTTGTCAGCTGCAGCCAGCACTGGTCCCCAACGAAGATCCGATTCTTTTGCATGACAACGCCCGCCCACACGTTTCACAAATCACTATCCATAAACTGAACGAATTGGGAGTTGAAGTTCTACCTCACCCGCCATATTCTTCAGACCTTTCGCCAACCGACTATCACCTTTTCAAACATTTTCAGAACTTCCTTGCTGGAAAATACTTCATCAATCAGGACCAGGCAAAAAAGCCTTCGTGGATTTCGCACCACACGCCAGTTTTTTACTTTATGGGATTTCTCGACTGCTGTCACATTGGCAAAAGTGTGCTGATTCGAATGGTGCCTATTTCGATTAAATCCGATGAGTATTAAAAAGTTACGATCGTTCAAAGTGAAACACTCAAAACGCTGAGAACTTTCCTGACAACCTAATAGAAGGTTTGCAGTACACTCGTCTGAGAGAATACAATCACTACGTTGCACTTCGGTTGATCGCCGTAAATCACCGTACGTGCCAAATCGCATGAAAGTACCATTATGACTCCGAAAATAAATAGCGTATGTGTTTTAAAGGGAATTTAATTGTTCCCAG